AAGCGGCGGTCGCTCGGTCGGTATAGTTCGCTTGAGGACTTCAGTTCACGGAGTTTGTTTTGTTTGAATGTTGCTTAACCAATGTTTCGACAGAAATTTTAGATGCCATCTTCATTGCGAATTATTTTAGGGGCTTGTACGTTTTGCATACGATATCAAGCAATGGTTGGTGAGTCACAGATTAAGCCGTGGTTTATTGAAAATAAGTGTTAACCCCAAAACTCTTAAATCTGAAGACGGAAACCTAAATATTTGCCGAAACGACGGAAGACCTCCAACATCCTACGCGTCTATTTCCCGAAAGGCGAAATCACAAATTTCCTATTATACGCATATTCAGTCGAGCTGTACCTCTCCTTCAGTCTGGATGACGCAAATGGGGTGTCTGCTCTAGTTCTAAACAGATACACTGGTTTCAAAAATGTTCAAGTTATTGCAGTATCTGCAATGTCCTGCGGTTACTAACCTGTTGGCTGCCCACCCCCCTCACCTTGCCGTGTATGACTCCCACTTACCTCCTAATCACGTGATCAGCAATTAACAACATTGAGGCAGTTCAGGTTGATTGTAATTGCAAGTAATTACCCTGAAGCCAGGCGTCGAGTACTAGGAGGACAGTCAGAGGCTGACAGTTGAGTTACGGGCTGCTGGATCATTAAAGCTGGTAGTGCCAAGTCCGCTTTCGAAATCATAAGTCCAAACTGTACTTATTGTACAGAATGTCCCAGAAGGAAAGGTCATATTCTGGGGGGTCATAGTGTGGGCCATTCTAAGCAGAAAATTGTAGAACCATAGATATGTAGGTAGGTGGGTGGGTAGGTGGGTAGATGAGTAGATGAGTAGGTGGGTAGTATGTGGGTGGGTGGATAGATGAGTAGGTGGGTGGGTAAGTAGGCAGGCGGATGGGTGGGTGGGTAGATGAGTAGGTGGGAAGAGGAGTTGGTGGGAAGGTGGGTAGGTGGGTGGGTAGGTAGATGAGCGGTTGGGTAGGTGGGTTGGTAGGTTGGTGGGTGGGTGAATGAGTAGGTGGATAGGTAGGTAGGTTGGTGAGTAGAAAGACAGACAGATCTGCTCACCTTTATTAACTCTTGATGCAGTTAGCATGTTCTTAAGGAAACTGCCTTCATTCAGACTTCAGTAGCGTACTTGTTTCCACGAAGTCCTTTATCGAGACATGTGTGAACGTGCATGTTTTCAGCACTCGTGGCGGAACAGGATAGAGCGAAATGGGGTTAGGCATGAGTAAAGAGAAACAAATTAATTTGGGGGGGGAGAGCAGTGCATGTCAATAAATGTCAGAGGAAATAGTACATCTGTACTGAGCATGTCCAAACTAAGCACTGGCACTTGGGAAGGAACGGTGACATGAATATAAACGCCACAAAAAGGGGGAAAATTCTGTTTGTCATGTGTGTTAAATTAAGCTATTTTAGAGACACTGTTTTTATTTATAACGTAGATATTACAAAACAATAATTTGGCTCAGTCAGTAAAGCGACGGGCTGAACGGCAGAGGTTGGATTCCAGACAAAGGCAAGAGATTTTTCTCTACTTCACAGCGTTCAGACCGCCTTTGAGGCCCATCTAGCCCCCTAACTAATGGACAATGAGGTTCTTTCCTTGGGGCAAAGCGGCTGGAGCGTAAAACTGACCACTAACCTCCATCAATTGCGGAGGACAAGAACGGTGGCACTATAACTTCACTCCCCAGTACGCCTTCATGGCATAATGCTTCATTAATTGAGCATAGGAACATCTCTACCTTTAAGTAAACATTACAAAAATTAGTGTTCTTTCTCCATTGTCTGCGTAATTTCGCCCCTGACAGCGGGGAACTCTGACAAGTTGTGTAATGCTTTCGATTGTTCTCTTTTAATGATGGACTTGCGTTCGTAACGATCAGTGCAATATACATGATTCTGTTACGTTTTTGTGTGTGGAGTTAGCCACAAACATAGGATGTAACAGGAGAGTGCACAGTATTGCCCAGACTTACTCTATTTAGAAGAAGCAGAGGTTTCGAACATAACTCATAAAATTAACATGCGTTTCTACGCATTTGGCCAGTTCACAGACAAATAACCCATTTTCTCAGTTTCGACCGTTTCGACATATATATATATATACATAGGTAGCAAGCGGAGGGATACATAAGGATTTCAGAATAACTTAAAGCAGTGCAGCTAGGTCAGTAGTGCAGGGGGCTCGGCCCAGAGAGGACAATGAAACCAGACAGCAGCGTCAAACGGGACAGGTACTGTACTAATGATACGCTCTTGGACTGAGAAATACTTTAATTCATGGAAATATATTTTGAGTAAATTATGTTTGTTGCACTACGGAAACAGGAAAGCAGACATGCAATAAAGACAAATGAGGTTGGGGGTGGGATCGCTCGTATAATTCAATTCAATTCCTCATTTTTACACGGTAACTTAACAGTTACGAATCGGGATAGCGTAGTCGCTAGACCGACTGGCTAGGGGCTGGACGACCAAGGGTTCGGAGTTCGAGACACGGTAATGTCAAGAATTGTTTCTTGTCCACAGCGTCTAGAGCAGTTCTGGGGCCCACTCAGCCTCCTGTCCAATGGGTACAGGGAGTTCTTTCACCAGAGGTAAAGCGGCCGGAGCGTGAACCTGACAACTCACCTCCAACTAGTGCCGATGTCAAGAAAATGTGGCTCTATACATCCACTCCCCCGTACGTTTTCATGGTGTAGTTCTTAATTAGTTAAACACAGGGACAATTTTACCTTTCTTTTACCTTCTTAACTTAAGAGTTACAGCAACAAATTATGGAATCAACACAAATAAAATATATGACAAATACATACATGTAAGATATACTGCTGCATAGTCGACGGAAGGCAAGCAAAAATTTGTAACAACACTGAATGTAACACAGAGTGGTAAGAATCGGTTAGTCAACTTAACCAAAAGTTAAATGCCCCAAAAATTATTATCAGACTTATTGAGGATGCTGCCGATTTCATTTGCGGCTAAAGGGGAGGAAGAGAATGACATTCCTTACGTGAAAGCGAAGTACAATGACCGAAATCTCTAAAATTTCTGACTGGAATTCTGACACCAACAGCTTTCAGAACTGAAGGGCAGGTAATTAAGATGTTATCAACATTCCTTGTAAACACTCTTACAAAATACGTGGTAATAAATAATAAAGTTAAAGGTAAAGCTATCCCTGTAACAAGCCGTGGAGACCCACAGGGTCATGAGACGTCGAGGCTCCCACATTTTCTAGACAACGAGTTCATAGCTTGCGGTCAGACTGTCAGCCCTACGCGCCGGGAGCCATTTACCCCCTGGAACATTCCTGTATTCATTTCTGTTAGAGGCTGAGTCGACCCCAGTTCATAGTGAGGCTGGAAAATTTTGGTCAATTGAAAAATAAAATGACATCGGGAACTGAACCCGCGAGAGCATCCGGCTTGTAGCATAGTGTTTGAATCAACTATGCTACCGCGTGCCCCATTTAATTCCATGCGAATCTTAAGTCCCTGATATCTGATCATATACTATGCGTTTATTTGGAGCTGAAGATGTTTTCTCGTCCAGCTGTAACAGGACACTTCTCCTCAGATTTAGTTTTCCATACAGCGCACACCTGCACACCTGCACGCCTGCACACCTGCACACCTGTCACTGCTTCTCTCCTTTCCTGAGCTTTTGAAACTGGCACAGTGAAAGAGCCTCGATTCGCTTCTTGTTTCATAGAATTGGGAGATTTCATTTCCAAAGAAATCCAGTCAAGATCACTCACACAAAAAGTAAAGTTATCCCTGCAACAGGCAGTGGAGCCCCATAGGGTTGTGTGATGTTGAGGTGTCCACATTTTCTACAAAATCGGCTCATAGGTGGCGGTAAGGTTATCAGTCTTACGCGCCGGCCGCTCTTTACCCCTAAAAGTATTCCTAGAATATTCCTGGTCCTCATTTCTGCAAGTGGCTGAGTTGATCTCAGGGCCATAGTGAGGCTGGAAGGGTTAGGTCAATTGAAAAAGTCTACCTCACCGGGACTCAAACCCGCGACCTTCCGGCTCGTAGCATAGTGCCTCAACCAACTATGCTACCAGATCACTCATATATACAAAAAATACGTGTTGTGTTTTTGCACCATTTTTTCTTAACAATCTTCTCCTGAAAGAAGTGGAATGTGTGTTTTTTGTCAGAATTAAATTTACAGATTCACTTTCAGGAGCTTCTACAACCTGTTGAGCACTCACTGAGTTCTCTCGCTGTCCGTGCTGGAGAAACTCGAGATTTTCTGAAGGGATCTTTTTTCAATTTTGGTTAAATTCAGACAAAACACCAGACATTTCCATGAATATCTGAATGTATTTCCATGCATATTTAGAGCAAAATTCACCAAATGTTTTTGGAGCGAAAATTGTTTAGAACAGGTTTCAGGCATCATGTCACAATATATGTACAACGTTATGACATGAATGTATATGCAGTATACACAGGGTTTCTGCCAGTGCAGGCTCAGTACCCTTCCGCCTATGAATTCTAGTGTTCATTTTGCGCCATGAGATTTAAGACAATTTTTGCAATTGCGACTATTTTCTGATCCTCTGAGAAAGCATCTTTGATTCTGTCATAAACTGCTGTACTGCAGTTACTATTCTCAACATATTGTCTAGAGGCAAACTGTTTACTTTTGGAGCCCCAGCTGCTTGTTGTTCGTGTTAGTGTAAGGGCACAGAGACCCTCGGTTTCATTGTGGCGGGACTTGCTACTGCCACCTGGTGCCGCTGAGGCCGATGTTGCTGGAGCGCCGCCGCAAAGGACGCACCTGTGGTGGCGAGTTTTGAGGAGAACACCATTCCCGGTGTAGTCTTCAATGTTCTCTGTGACTTCTTTTTCTGCATCTCCTTCTTCGCATGTCTGCAGCCACTATAATTTTCGGAATGTGGATTTTCTCCTACCGCCAACCGACAGTTGCAGCACGTTGGAGCGGAAGATGTATTTCCTTTCTCGGAGCACTCCTCGTGCAGGTGACCGCCTCCGCACCACAAGCAGCGGGGAGGTTGCTTGCAGTTTGCCCAGACATGGCCGGACTGTTGGCAGTTATGGCTTTGGGTAAGACCATTCTGAGCTCCCCGATCGCGATGTGGCGAAGGCTTGGCTGTCTGAAAATCTCCCTGGCCTTTTGCCGTCTTGGGCAGGGTTATAAGGAACAGGGGGAGGTGACCGGCGGGTGGCCGTCATCTGCTTGACTCTAATAACGTCAACAGCCAGGCTCACCAGTCTGTCAGATATGTCTTCTGCAGGGGTGTTTTGAGGGGGGTGCCGTATCAGATCTTTTATGAAAGTTTGGGATTTGGGGTACAAAGTGAAATAAGCAAGACTATTCATTTCTATGTAGGATTTGACTCCTGAAAAATCTGCCATGGCTTTTGTGATTGCTCTGGTCCCATTTATGGTGCTACGGAAATCAAAATTGTCTTTCAACGCGCCTTTCAATTGCTTTTGCAACTGAATCATGTTAGTTGCGGAGGTTAGCGCTATTTGGGACAGCCTTCCTGTTTTGCCAGGAACTGCCTACTCATATGGCAAGGCCTGTAACTCGTTGAGCGTAACAGTATACACGTATGTGCCATACAGGGCACGAAATAGGGTCTTTCCAGTGAAAGCTTTGCAGCAGCTAGTTTTGTTGTCCACCGCAGTATTGACTATTGGTGTCCACTCAACACTTTCTCCTACCAAAGCTGACGTGTAATCTGCCACGTACTCAACGTCACACAGGATTTTAAACAGCTGTTTTATCTGTACTTACGCATCGCGATGTTTAGCTACTAACTGGTAATCAGCTTTTATTAATATTATTTTGTCCGTCCAGGAGTTTTGATATCCCGGAACTGGGACGTCCGCCATCTTTGACAAGACACTCGCTTCGCACTTAGTACCCTGGAGATCCAAACGTTTGAATATATCGCGTCGGAGAGCGCGAGGCCGCGAGTTTCGCTGAACACCACAAGTGCAACAGAAGGCATGCGCTCGCAATAGTACATATAATGATGCTTCGTCTAGTAGTTACGCATTAACACAAAGGTATACCTCAAGCATCTGACTCGATGCTCCCACCACCGACTAAACTGAGCTGAGTCTTGTGTTATGACCGGCGGTCAGTCGGCCAGTCTGTATTGGAATAAACCATCCAATTGGGGAGTAAGACCAGATTTTTATTAATGTCAGACAGCTGCGGGTTTGTTGATGTGTGGCGATCTCTCTGACTAGAGGGCGGGTCTGCCTTTTACAGTTGCTACTGGTCCTCGCCAGCGCAGTAATTCTCGGGTCCGAGTCCCGTTGGACTCGCCACCATATTTTATTGTTTCAATTTCTAAACTTCTCTTTTCGTCCCCTCCTATGGCTCGCAGGGCTACAATGGAGGTATTCGACCCCGCCTCCATACGGGATCACTGAGTAAGCTTCATTCATTCATCAGTAATCTGTCAAGACGACAGGTCCACAGTCTCTTCCAAAACAGTTCCTCCACTTGATGCGATCTAGAGCTTTCTCCTTCAAATGAAACATCTCGCATACATGGTATCTCTGGTTTTGGAAAGAGACTATCCAGGAAAATTGATAATGTGGTAGTTTTTCCATTTGCTTTCCACATCGCAGTACAATAGGCGTTCAAACCACTCTGGTCACGCCTGTTGCTATACGAACTTGAACCATCTCGAGCATTATTTACTCTGTGCTTCAAGTCGCTGCTGATGACGCTGCTTCCGGCATCAGTTTTTGGTGTCTCTCTTCGTCTGATGCCTACCCTTTGACCTGTCCAGCAAGGGAGGCCCTGCCAGTAGCTACGCTACCGCTGGTATAGCTCTCAGGGTCCTTGGCATACTCAA